ACATCCCTGTGGGGGATCCTGACAGTCTGGGGCCTGCCAGTCAGAAAGTTCAGGAGCCAGTCACAGAGGGTGGGGTACAGACCCAGTGTGGACAGCTTATGGGTGAGTTTGTGGAGGACAACTGTGTTGAAGGCAGATCGGTAGTCATTGAAGAGTATCCTGATGTAAGAGTCTCCATTTTGAGAAAGGGAATAGTGGAGGGCAGCCACGATGGCGTCTGAGGTGGCCCTGTTGGGCCGGTAGACATACTGCAGCGGGTCCAGGGTGTCCGGTATACTCTGGATGCGAGCCAGCACCACTCTCTCAAAACACTTCATGATTGGGGTGAGTGCCACTGGCCTGTAGTCATTCAGGCAGATGACCAGATTCTTCTTGGGAAGGAGGACGATGGTTGTGGTCTTAAAACAGGTGGGAATGATGCTCTGGCTGAGGGAGAGATTGAAGATGGTGGTGGGATCATCAGCCAGCTCCTTGGCACATGCCCTGAGAGCCCTCCCAGGGATGTTGTCCGGTCCTGCTGCTTTGTGGGGGTTGATCTTCCTCAGGACTGTGTGTACCTGGCCTGGTGAGACAGTTAGTGGAAAGGGGGTTGGGTGGCACAGTGTTGTCAATACAGGTACTAATTTACCCGGTCACATACTCAGCATCATCCTGTATGCTGACAGAAAAGTCCTCCAAGGTGGCTGCAGCTTTAAACACATCCCAGTCTGTCTGGGCGAAACAGCCCTGCAGGGTGTCTTCAGTCTCTGGGGTCCAGAGTTTAATTTGTTTGGTGACAGGGTTTGTTTGTTTCAGTCTTTGTAAGCTGGATACAGGAACAAAGAAATGTGGTCTGAGCATCCAAGGTGGGGGCAGGGTAAGGCCCTGTATGCACCACGTATGTTACTGTAAACATGATCTAGAGTGTTCTTGCCCCGGGTGGGAATGTTCACCTGTTGGTAATATTTAGGAAGTACAGTCCGTAAATTGCACTGGTTAAAGTCTCCTGCAGTGATAAATACAGCATCGGACTGATGATGTCATGGAGTTTGCTGAGAGCCGCAGAGGGATTAGCTCTTGGGCTAACATACACAGCAGCCAAAAACACAGCGCTATGCTCTCTTGCTAGATAAATAGGGCCGGCATTTCAGCAACGAAAAATTCACATCTGGCAAACAGTGCTGATAAACAGTCCATATATCTCTACACCACGAGTTATTGATAAACACACACACACCGCCTCCTTTTACCTTCCCCGAAGCTACAGTGCGGTCTCCCAGAGTGGGTCTGTAGCTGAATCACGGAATCTGGGACTTTGTCAGAAAGCCAGTCTCGGTGAGAATTAGAGCACAGCATTCTCTTAGTTCCTGTTGTGTTGTAATCCTAGCTCTTAAGCTTGTCTAGTTTGTTTTCCAGGGACTGTACGTTAGCTAGGAAGAGGCTAGGTAGTGGCGGATAGGTAGGCTTTTAGCCTAGCATGGACCCCTCCTCTCTTGCCCGGGTCGCTCTCCTGATTTCAGCCTGCTCGCTTGTGCCTGGTGCTCCGGGGGCTCCCTGAGGGTGATGGTGATTGTTGTTGTTGTTGCGGGAGCGGACAATGAGTTGTAGCTCCGGTGGTATGAAACCAGTAAATTCCCAGTGGCTGTGTGAGTTGGTGATGTCCAGCAATGCCTGTTTGTTGTATGTTAAACAGATGTTAATCATGATGCAATGATCCAGCCATCCATTCATCCATTTTCTTCCACTTATCCGATGACACTGCCCTGGCCAGGAGCATCTTGGGGTTCAGTGTCTTGCCCAAGGACAGTTAGACATGTGGACTGGGAAGAACGGGGATCAAACTGCCAACCTTACAGTTAGGGAATGAGCGCTTTCCCTCCTGAGCCACAGCTGCCCCTTAAGGCAGAGGTGTTGCAGTGAATTGCATACAATTGTACAGGTGTACCTAATAAAGTGGTCGTTGAGTGTATAGATGTTGGTACGGGGAACATGCAGGATAATGTCCAAGTGTACTTCCCCGGACTGGGGGAAGTGACGGTGGTGCGGTGGGTAGAGCAGTTGTCTCCCAACCAGAAGGTTGAAGGTTCGAATCTTGGTGCCGGCAGTCCACGTGTTGAAGTGTCCTTGGGTAAGACACTGAACCCCCTTGATGGTTAGAGCCATCGGTTGAGGGGGCGCCGCAGATGGCTGCCATCGGTTCTGTACCAGAAACAAATTCCTTATGTGTAACATACTTGGCCAATAAAATTGGTTCTGTACCGGAAACAAATTCCTTGTGTGTAACATACTTGATCAATAAAGGTGATTACCCTTATCCTATTATTTCCCACCCATGCCCTTTTCACATGCACACAGCCTACCCTAATGACCATGTCAGGACTTCACTTCTTTTCTGAAAGCAGTATAAGTAGCAGTGCTTATTACTTCTCTGTGTTACATCCTTCACTACAGTCTTGAAATATGCTTGTTTTCCCACCCTAGGTAGTGATGAGTACAGTGGGGAACAGTGGCCCATGCCTCACCTCAGCCTTCTGCAGCTTTGCCCTGATGCTGTAGAAATGGGTTTTTTCTTTCTGATGATTTGGGGCGTTACATCGGAAGATAAAACTATTCACTCGCATGCCTTGAAAATTTAAGTCCCCCTCTCAAGCCTCATCGTGCACGCATGGTGTGAGGCTACACTTACTGGTTCACAGTAGTAACTTATTATCACACTGCTGTCAATGCACAAGCCCATTCTGACTGATACATTCTGTTCTTTAGGGATGCAGTGTTATATTGATGACAAATAATGGCACTAATGCTAATGTTGGTAGAGATGATAATTTTTTTTTGTTTCAGGACTAGTTGCTGAAGGAGAGAAGCCACAGAAGCAGACAGGAGGACTGGTGGTAACCAAAGACCTAATGGGTAACATACACTCTAAACAGTCACACCATGTACAGTGAACATAAATCTCAGTAGAGTCCTGCAAAAATTTTGTAGCTGAAACCCCTTATCCTTGTTCCATTAACTTCCTTTCACATATGAAGCTGCTGAAATACTGTCAGCAGTGAGGGCCTCTTTGTTTACTGCAAAAAATACATGAGTAAATCTAACTAAAGGGTCATTTTTGAAAACAGGCGCTATGACAAAATTTATTGTACATGTTGACAAAAATTAATACATGATAACATGAAAGAGAAACATATAGAGAAATAAACTCATGACTGTCTTAATGTCAAGTCTTAGTCCCCGATGGCCATCTGCCACACACAATTCAGCTAGTGATTATTTAAAAAAGTATTCTCCACTGGCCAAAATAATCTCTTTTTCATACGCTGATTTAGCTGCTTAAATTACATTTAATAAGAAAGGTCCTGTATAAAATAAAGTTTTGTCTTTGTCAGTAATGTTCTATGATTCTAACAGTACAGTTCTTGGAAGAAACAGATTTATCAACTAAATTGTATATTTCACTGAGGATTCAGACAGGAAGTAGCAAGAACCCAAGTAACACATGGTGTTTTTTTTTAACTTACAATCTGACAGGGTTGTGGTTACATTATTAGTTGGTATTTTAATGACGTCTCTATTAGCTCCTGATGTAGACGGTGCTATTACCTTGTGGGTTTGTTTAAACAGCTAGGACAAACAACCGAAACATATAGATAGTATAGAGATATTTTAGAACACTATAACTGGCACACTGGCATTTATTTATGATTTCAGTCCAGTTACACTGGCAAGGAAAAGTACAACAGCTTCAAAATATATTCATGTTTTTGACACACTTTATTTAATATTTTATTTTTCCCATTGTTCTACACTGAAAAAACCTTAGAAAAAATCAACTGGACTTAGATTTCTAGAGTGAAGACGTTTCACCTCTCATCCAAGAGGCTTCATCAGTTCTGACTGACTGGTGTTGAGCCGGAGATATTTATCCCCCTCGGTAGTGTTTCAGTCCTTTGAAGGCCAACAATGTCCCTTAACGACTGAGTCGTTGCAGCCCAGTATCGGTGAGAGTCGTTACCTGTCTTTGAATCCTCCCCTGTCAACCGACGCCTATTGTCCTGGTGGGCATGTTTGGGCAGAGATCTCAAAACAGGATTGTAGATGGAAGACAAGTTGTGTCTTAGTCCACCACCCCTATTTAGTGAGGGGTGAAGCTATTTTTGTAAAAAATAGTTTACAAAAATAGCTTCCTTAACTCCTCTCTCAAACCAGCGATGTTCTCTGGAGAGGATCTGGACTTCACTGTCCTCAAAAGAATGTCCTTTGTCCTTCAGGTGGAGGTGGACTGCTGACTCTGGTCCACTCTGAAAAGTCTTCGATCTAGAAATTTAAGTCCAGTTGATTTTTTCTAAGGTTTTTTTCAGTTTACTATGACCTGGATGACTGAGAATCTGCACAGACATTGTTCTACACTACATCAATCTAATGAGTAATGACAAACTGAAAGTATGTTTGTAGAATTTTATCAAATTTTTATAATCACTGAAATATATTATGTAATGATCAGAGAGATTTTTTTTTGTCCAAAACCTGAAATTTTGTTGCCTCTCCAGGAGGTTTTTGGGGTAGCTAACTCCTCCTGACTTCACTGTAATTCAAGCACTGAACCAGATCAAAATTTTTCAAAATTTAAACATCAAAATTATACAGATTATACAGATAAAAGCGATCTTCACTTGGTTATGATGACAGTTTTGGTCTAAATGAATACAAATGACATGTATTGATATCCCTGGCTCTGTAGGATATTTGTGTGCCCCGTTCTCTTATTCTGCCCTTTCATCTGTGAACAGGGAAGCACCCGGTGTCTGCTCTCATTGAGTTGTGTAACAAGAGACGGATCATGCAGCCAGACTTTATTATGGTTCATCACAGTGGTCCTGACCACCGCAAAAATTTCCTCTTTAAGGTGGGTCATTTTGATTTTGTCCGTCAGGTTCACTCCCTTTTACTAACTAGCTACATGATCGATCTTTGACGTTTGTCCACAATGTAAAAATTATCTGCATTTCTTAATCTAAACTGTATAATATTAGATTCGAAGAAATGCAAATTTGTTGAATTTTATTGTACTTTTGCATTTGAAAAAAGATTAAGAGTCTGCAGCCATGATAGCATCTCCAGGAGCCTGTACTGAGGCACAGCACAGCTTTGAGCTAAATGCTAATATCAGCATCATAACATGGTTCCAAAGACTAATATGTTGATACTGGGCAGGTATAATGGTTACCATCTTCAACATGTTAGAATGTTAGCTTCCTAACATTTGTCATATAGTGTTAAACACAAAGTACAGTTGAAGGAGACTGGAACGTCAGTTTTGCAAGTAGACACCTAAGAATTGGACATCCTTGGGTGCTAGAGGAAAAGTTAAGGGCTCACCAAAGTCAATAGGTGGAAACTGTATGAAGGCCACAATATGCTAACCCCTGGACATAGGAATAAAGCTTAACCTCTCCCACTAAGATGGCATATTTGGAACATATTAAAGCTCCAAACACTGCTTGAGGCTGTAAGACAGAGATATTCACTCAGTAATTGACTACCATGAACCTGCAAACAGAGTTCCCTGCAGACCCCCTTTCATGTTATTAATTCAGGATAAGACCCCAAAGCTCCCAAATGATAACAACCTGCAGTTATTGTGGCAGCTACCTCCTTAAACCCTCAGATGTTACTGTACTGAGAAACTTTTATAAACCAGTACACTCTGGCTCTTTGAGGAAGTGTTAAATTTAGTCTGAAATAACCAATGAAAGCCGTGTCACTGTACACTTAAGACCATATTTGTTTTGCACAGTATTTAGTTGACATAAGATGTTAAGGATAGGATATTTAAAGAATAGTATGTATTATGTAACAAGTAAACAACTTGATATTTTAGATAAACCCTTTTCTGATGTATCTGTCTAAAATTATTTTAGCAGTTCAATCTTGGCCTTCTCAACCCTGTGAACTGTTATGCAACCTCAGACACTCACTAAGACTTGGGTAATCACACTCACTGGGAATTGTGCAATATGTGCAACTTTAACAATTACCATTTAAAAGTGTAAACCCACTAAAATCATAAGAATGTCAATAACATCAAACTTGACTCAATAACCACAGAGAGTATTAAACCTTTTCAGGAATTTTATATAGAAGATTAACAGAGCTACAGCAAAGCAACAAGCAATAAAATATAAACCTTAAAATCATCATTAATTGTCTTGATTTGCTTACAATCTAAATAAACCAACTGCTATTACTAAACATAATTCTAAAATGATAATACTGATTAAAATTATTATGGTTGAGCTAAGCTCTTGTTCTGAACAACAAAGATTTTTCTCACAATCAGGCTCTCAGCTGGCTCTGGGTAGGGCGGTGGCGGATTGGGCAATCATTTGTTCCTCATTTTCCTTTTTGCCATGATTCAAGCCTTCATAAGGAAAAGGATTTATAAACAAAAATATCAAAGCTCATCCAGTTCAATCCTCAAAATTCTCAAAGAGAGAAATACGACAAATTCAGATAAACAATGTTTTTTTTGGTCAAATCTTCTGTGACTCAGGAAAGCATAAAAGACATGAAAATGTCTATAAACCCTCTTCTTTTGGTCCAAATCTTCATAAAGACATGAAAATGTCTAAAACTGTCTTCTTTTCAAGCCATCCTTTCCCCACTAGGCCAATCATCTTTGAAGCAGGAATTCAGTTTCCCTGCTGTGAGGCTTTGCCACAGTTTCATTGTCCCTCGTCGGCATGCATCTTCCTCCTCTGACAGGCCGAACGCCTGTGTCCAAGCACCCAGAAAAGGTGCTCTCTCTCCCTTGTTGGCATGCATCTCACTCCCACAGGCCGAACGCCTGTGTCCAAGCGCCCACAAAAGGGGCTCTTTCTCTCTCGTCAGCATGCATCTCACTCCAACAGGCTGAACACCTGTGTCCAAGCACCCAGAAAAGGGGCTCTTTTTCCCTCGTCGGCATGCATCTCACTCCCATAGGCGTGCCCCAGAGGGGCTCCTCTTCACAGACTGCCCCCCGCAGTCCTCGGTCTCCTGGAAGTCAGATGGTCAAACGGACAGAGCCTCCAGCTGCAGCCATGGAAAGACTCTCCGTTCCTCTTTTTGCCTGGCTTTTTATATGGTTCTGGTCAGTAGCCTTTGTCCTCTCATCCAACCAGATGTTGCAGTTTGCAGTTAATACCTTATTTGGCGTGCAAAATCATATTGTTCTGAAGTATTGCATATTTTTTACTGTCAGTCCAAGCCTACTGCTTGTAACTGGCCTCCGCCCCACTGTGATCCAGCCTTGGATTCTACTTCCTCTTTTCTAGAAAACTAAACCATCTCAGTACGTAACAAAAATACAAGAAACTCACATCTGACTGAAATATCAAAATTCCATCATTGCTTTTAACAGAACAATCAGAATTAGAATCAGAATCAGAATCTGCTTTATTGTCCTTGTACACACAAGGAATTTGACTCTGGTACATCGGCTCTCAATGTGCAAACAGTAAACCAACATAAGGCTGTGTAATATAACAAAAATAAGCAATATAAACAGACAGTAACAATGCAGACAACAAAGGAATGTTCACTGAAATTAGATAAATAGGGATAAAACAGAGTACTTAAGAACTAGAGACCTGTATGGGTCTGTATAATCTGTACAATGTATATACACAGGTATTGCACTGAGGTTTATTGTCCAATCATATAGTCATTGGTTAAGCGTTCATCAGTGACAGCCAGGGAGAAGAAACTGTCCCTGTTCCTGGTTGTCTTGGTGCACAGTGACCTGTAATGCCACCCAGAGGGGAGGAGTTCAAACAGATTGTGTCCGGGGTGTGAGGGGTCAGCAGTGATCCGCTCCACCCTCCTTTTGACCCGTGTGGTGTATTGGTCCTCCATGGAGGGCAGGCTCACACCAATGACCTTTTCTGCAGTCCTGACTGTTCGCTGAAGTCTGTACTTGTCCTGTTTGGTTGCTGAGCCAAACCAGACAGTGATGGAGGTGCAGAGGACAGACTTGATGATTCCTCTGCAGAACTGTATCAGCAAGTCCTGGGGCAGGTCAAACTTCCTGAGCTGGCGCAGGAAGTACATCCTCTGCTGTGCCTTCTTGGTGATGGTCCTGATGTTGGACATCCACTTCAGGTCCTGGGAGATACTGGAGCCCAGGAACTTGTAGGACTTTACTGCTGATACAGTGCTGTCAAGTACAATGAGGGGGGGTATGGTGGGGGGGCTCTTCCTGAAGTCCACTGTCATCTCCACTGTTTTGAGCGTGTTCAGTTCCAGGTTGTTGCGACTACACCACAGGACCAGCTGCTCAACCTCCCATCTGTAGGCTGACTCATCACCGTCTCGGATGAGACCATTGACTGTTGTATCATCAGCAAACTTAAGGAGCTTGACAGAGGGGTCCTTCGAGATGCAGTCATTGGTGCAGAGTGAAAACAGCAGAGGGGAGAGCACACATCCCTGGGGGGTGCCTGTGCTTATTGTCCGGGTGCTGGATGTGGTTTTCCCCAGCCTCGCCTGCTGCTTCCTGTCTGTCAGAAAGCACATAATCCACTGACAGGTGGGGGCAGGTACAGCGAGCTGGGTCAGCTTGGAGTGGAGGATGTCCGGGATGATGGTGTTGAATGCTGAGCTGAAGTCCACAAAGAGGGCCTGTGCATAGGTCCCTGGGGAGTCTAGGTGTTGCAGGATGTAATGCAGTGTCATGTTCACTGCATTGTCCACTGACCTGTTTGCCCCGTAGGCAAACTGCAGGGGTCTAGCAGGGGGTCTACGATGTCCTTCAGGTGGGCCAACACCAGTTTTTCAAAGCACTTCATAACTACAGATGTCAGGGCGACAGGTCTGCAGTCATTCCAGACTGAATGACTGGAATGATGGTGTAGTGTTTGAAGCAGGAGGGGATTTCACACAGCTCTAGTGACCTGTTGAAGATAAGTGCTGAGTGGTGAAGATGGAGCCAGCTGATCAGTGCACACTTTCAGGCAGGAGGGTGTCACACCATCTGGGCCTGGTCCCTTTCTGATCTTTTGTCTTTTAAGGATAAGGGTAATCACCTTTATTGGCCAAGTATGTTACACACAAGGAATTTGTCTCCAGTACAGAACCGATGGCAGCCATCTGCGGCGCCACCTCAACCGATGGCTCTAACCATTGGGGGCAACGGGGGGTTCAGTGTCTTGCCCAAGGACACTAGACCCGTGGACTGGAGGCACTGAGATTCGAACCTTCAACCTTCTGGTTGGGAGATGACTGCTCTACCCACTGCACCACGGTCGCCACGCCTTAAAGAGGCCACGCATGTAATTTTCACAGATCGTTAGAGGTGGGGGGCTGGAGGAAAGGATGTTGATTGTCAGGGGAGCAGCTGCTGGGTCTGAAGTGGGGAGGGTGAGGGGGGAGTGATGATTGTCAAACCTGCAGTAGAACACATTCAGGTCGTCTGCCAGTTGACAGTCCTCCACAGCAGGTGGGAGGGTTTTCTATAGCCAGTGATGGTTTTCAGGCTTCCCCACACAGACGAGGGGTCGTTGGCTGAAACCTGAGCTTTCAGCTTCTCAGAGTAGCTCCTCTTTGTTGCTCTGATCTCCCTTGTCAGTGTGTTCATGGCCTGGCTGTACAGAGTCCTGTCCCCACTTCTGCCTCCTCTTTGGCATGACAAAGCTGCTTGAATCTGGCTGTGAACCAGGGCTTCTTGTGTGTATGTGTGCACGTGCACATGGTAGCATGCTTTGTTTGGTGTGTTTGTTAGATTACACTACCAGCTCATTATGTATCAGGGCTTGTTGTTATATGTGCAGAAGGACTTGTTGGGCACGCACACATCCTCACAAAAGCTGATATAAGATGTCATGGTGTCATTGAGTTCATCCAGGTCTGTAGCTGCAGTCTCAAATA